GATAATCTACACGACAGTCTTGGATGAGTTCATCTTGTGATACCAACCAGAAGCAATAATTGTTTCTCGTTTATAATAATTGTAATTTTTTTTTAAATTAATACTTTGTGTTCAAGTGGGTCTCTTAAAAGGAAATTCGATTCCACTGGGACATCACACCCATTCAATATGATACATATCAACCTCATTTTATTATCCTTTTGTCTATTTTTTTCTCAGCTCATTATTAGCTTTATTGTTTCCTTATTTTGCTGCACAGATTGAGCTGAGATAGTCCACTACCAGGGGCTTTTTGGTGTGGAGGGTAGTGGTGAGTAAAAAATAGGAATAGAAAATATAAATAAATCTTGGCTAAATGTAGCTTTTGCCACTGTACACAATTGTTAAGGGAACATTTCGTTTGCTTGAATAATACCAAAGTCAAAGCTCGTGTATTTTTTTTACTTGTTCAGTACTCTCCAGAGAATCTTGTTTGAAAGTTCAAAATAATTTGGAATAATAATTAATTACAGCTGTTTAAGTGAGTGCCATTTCTATCGAATACACTCTAAGTATAAAAATTGTGCGCATGTGCTGTCTCCGAACTTCTCTTTTAAATTCAATTTTAAATGAAAACAACTCGTCCAATAAAAAACATTTATTTCCGATACAACCCAGTCTTACCTCAAAATTAAAGATATGGACCATTGTTTTGTCGTTTTGTAAAAACTTGTCTGATTATCGAGGTGTAAGAAATCAGGACGCATCAATGTTTTGAATTATTGTCCATAATCGTTGTAGAGATAATTGTTTGGATGCTCTCCTGACCGTAGGTAGTATTTCATTCTCAATTTGTATAATTTAAATACACAAGGAAACCCCCTCCCCCTGCCTAATTGTCTACAAAGTCTATGGGCAGCTCCTAATTGCTTTTGAAGCTGAGCCATCTGATTTGAAAGCGTTACATTAATATGTACCATGCGTCTCCGAGTAAATTGAGAGCATATCAATGGAGACGCCTAGTACATTACCCACTAATTAATGTAGGACCTGGAGAGAAGGAGTAGCTTCAGCACCTTCAGTGCATATAACATCTAGTCATATTCTAAACTACAGGGGAATTCTTCTTCTTCCTGGTTATCTTCTAAACTAGAGGGATAGCGAATTTCTCGGCAGTCCTCCAACTAATTGAGCTGATTTTATGTATGTCAACAGTATGCTGATTGCCTACACACTAATCCGGTCAGTAAGATGTTGCTTAATTCTGTAAACTCCATTTAATGATAGTGATCATTTGAATGTTTCTGACTTTATCAGCAATTCAAAAACCCAGTAAGAAACTTAAAGGGACAGCCTTATGGGGTTGTACCATAGAGGTAACTCTAAGACTAGAAGGTCCCGAAATAACGTGCCCAACTTTTTGGCTCAGCTCTGGTACTCTCTTCGGTCCCAAGCTAATCGATTCACCCCTCGAAACATAGGAAAAACCAATAACCCCTCATTTTATCGGTCAAACTTTCATAGCGAATCAACACAAACATTGCGTAGTACTAGAATTTCGACTAGAAGGGTGTACGTTAATCGTTTGCTTGGGACCAATAGGTTAGTCAAGTAGTGAGCCAATTTAAAATCGTTAGTTTCGTATTGATTGTTGGTTGTACGCAATGGTGACGTAGGACTACGTGGTCTTATATAATAAATGTTATTTGTTAACTGCAGCAGGAGATTGTGTTTTATGTAGGAATAGGAATTTGAGCAGGGTTCTCTCTGTTTATACTATTTAGTATGACTTTGATAGCTCTGAATAGAACCTTTTGATATTAGTTGGAACATGTTCAGAAATTTAACTCTTTTGGAAAATATTGGTGGCCCTGAAAAGGGACGATGGTAGTACAAGCTTAAAGTCTTTGGAAGATGATGATGACGTGTAGGCAGCTGGATCAGAAAATCTGACTGGACAATCCCATATTCTTCGGTTCAATTATTGGGCACTCGCAAGAGTCTCGACCCGTCTGCTGCTGGACAGTGTCCACCCAACTAAAGCTCCTCACCTTTTTAGATTTTCTCGTTGAACTCCTTCTCTCAACAAGTTGGTTAATCTTAGTCTTTAGCAGAAAGACGCTTAACACTTTTTTCAGCTAATTTATGTTCCTGTTTCACGTCATGGTTCTTCTCTATACCTGTTCAGATAAATTAGTACTTTTATTTATTTTCTATACTGCGCTAAATCAAACTAGTAGAAATAAGAAGAGGTGTCGGTTAAGTGCTGGAATAATTGAAAATTCGATAAATATTTAATCGAATTGCTGGAAAACTTTACGATCAACCGTTAATCAAATAATTGGACTTTTAGGGATCCCTAGAAAAAAGTGCAATGTCGTGTTCTTCAGAAGTCCTTCGAAAATGTCGAACAGCAGAATTGCAACCAGCAAGTGTAACCCAAGAACCAAAAGCCGTGCAATGCTAGTTTTCATTGCTACGACAACGACTGAAATAAAGGGTGATACGGTCAAAATTTGGTCAAGGGAAAACGCGTGTAAATCGGTGAAATCGTTTATTTAAAAAATCAAATTAAATTTCTTTTTCAAGTTCAATTAGTATAAAATTCAGGAAAAATATTCAGTTAGGCTTCCGCTTTTCCAAATCCGAATTGCCGGGCCTTACGCTTGACCCCTGCCATCAGATTTTGTACAGCCACCTTGTCCACCTTCTTCGCCGCAGAAAGCCAGTTTGCCTTGAACTGCTGCTCGCCCTTAGCAGTTTTTTTGGTCTTCTTTAGGTTCCGCTTGACAATAGCCCAGTATTTCTCAATTGGGCGGAGCTCTGGCGTGTTGGGAGGGTTCTTGTCCTTGGGAACCACCTGCACGTTGTTGGCGGCGTACCACTCCATGGCCTTTTTACCGTAATGGCAAGATGCCAAATCCGGCCAAAACAGTACGGAACAACCGTGTTTCTTCAGGAAATGCAGCAGACGTTTATTCAAACACTCTTTCACGTAAATTTCTTGGTTGACAGTCCCGGAAGCTATGAAAATGCTGCTTTTCAAGCCGCAGGTACAGATGGCTTGCCAAACCGGATATTTCTTTGCGAACTTTGACAGTTTCATGTGCTTGAAAACATCTGCTACCTTTCCCCTTCCTTTTGCCGTATAAAACTCCTGTCCCGGAAGCTGCTTGTAGTCGGCTTTGACGTAGGTTTCGTCGTCCATTACCACGCAGTCAAACTTCATCAGCATCGTCGTGTACAGCCTCCGGGATCGCGCTTTGGCCGTCGTATTTTGTTTATCATCGCGATTTGGAGTCACTACTTTCTTGTAAGTCGATAGTCCGGCTCGTTTTTTGGCTCGATGCACGGTTGTAGACGATACACCCAGCTTATTTGCGGCATCTCGGAGAGAGAGGTTAGGGTTTCGCTTGAAACTACCGGCAACTCTCTTTGTCGTCTCAGCGGCTTCCGGTTTTCGATTTCCCCCCGATCCAGACTTCCTGGCTGTCGACAAACGTTCCCCAAACACTTTAATTACATTTGTAACGGTTGATTTGGCAACTTTTAGCGATTTTGCCAACTTTGCGTGCGAGTAGCTCGGATTTTCGCGATGCGCGAGCAAAATTTTGATACGCTGCTCTTCTTGCTTGGACGGCATTTTGACAACTGAAGAGTGAATTCCAAAATCAAAATAGGAGCAACATTCTACACACACACACCTTCAAAATGAGGGGTGTTCAGGTTTTTAAAATGCAAAATTGAAAGAAATACGTCAAGTTGATATTGACCAAATTTTGACCGTATCACCCTTTAAGGGGCTTAGCAGCAGAGGGGTGAGAGTCAATTCTCTTCATCGATTTCCTCTTTTGATGACCATGGCTTCACTAACCTATTTCGCACTATTTCTTCTATCATCCAGAACAACAAACTTATCAATGAATGTGTTTACCGTCGAGTTATAAACGAAACAGAAAAGCCTATGAAGAGAATCGATCAAAATCACTTGCATCCCTGCTTCCAAGTTTGGTTACAAGATTACAACTCTGGAGAGCATTATGTGTGGTCGTTTGGGGCTCTGAATATGGTAATGAGTGTGCAAAATGCTACGCAATTATATCCTCCCTTTTCGCGCACGCCCGAAAATTGGACTTGTTTCGTCTACTAACGACTCTATGATGGTGTAGGGGAAGCGGCATATGCATGTACGTAATTGGTGGATTTGTTAGTTATTTCGATGCTTTTGGACAATGCTTGACATTTACCTCCTTTTCAAACGTTTCTTGTTGAAAATCCACAGTCGGAGGCATCAATGCGTAGAAATATTTCTGATCGATTGGTAATAAAATTATTGAAATTGGTCCAGGGGCAGCTGAGTTATTAGCGTTCAAAATCTTTCATAATTTCGTTACATGTGCCATTGTTGGTCTTCACAAAGTGAACCCCCATATGGAAATCACATACATAGTCCTACGTCAAAAAAAAACTGACTTCTGTAAAATAATCTAAGTGTGCTCAATTGGCTGAAGGACAGTCGAGAAGTAGCGGTGGTTGAAAGCCACGAAAATTAACACGCAAGTAGCAGTTTTGAAAATATATTCCAAAGCGCAAGAGTCCTTACCCCCACCCATATCTACCATATCGCATGCCCCAATCTGCTCACACTAATGAAATCATACACCTAAACAAAGCGTGCAGCATGATTCGGGATGATCATTCGTCGGGTGCGCTGGAATCAGCACCGCGCGGGGGAAGAAGATTCCAATCTCCTCCGGTCCTCACCCGAAGCAGCATCCAGCATCTAGAGCAATCGTGTGCGCGCTCTTGTTTGTGGGATTTTACTCGGCAGACAAGATAAACAGAAATAAAAACAAAGCTGTTTCTCTCTCTCTCTATTCGCCAGCAGTAAATCATGCAGCCGAAGAAGCCTCATGCTTCAGCCTCCGATTGTGTTATAGTTATCCATATTTGTATGTAGGTACGTCTCTGTGAACATTGCTTCTTTAATTTGCTATTTTGTTTTGCTCTCCTTGTTGCAGGTTTACCCCATTACACCGGTTGCTGCTAGTGGTGGTGCTTACCTGAGCCACCCGAACAACATGAGACATCAACCATCGTCATCCTTCGCGGCATCAGGTTACGGCCAGTCGAACGACAGTAACAATAACAACAACAACTGCGACGACGGCGGCGGCGACGACTACCACTATGACAATAACGACAGTCTATGCAGAATTTCCGCAATACTTAAGCCAGTCATGCGCAGCAGCAGGTCGCACAGCGGCAACGTCGGAGACCTACATTTCTCAAAGCATCAACAACGACCGCAGCATAGCAGCATAGAGACTGCAACTGGTTCATGTTCCGCCATCGCGACGTCGGGTGAATCCTATGTTGGATGCAGTTCGAATGAACGTCCAAAGTGGAATGAGCAAAACATAAGTCCGTTTAACGGCTACCACCACGAGCACATGGAGGGTGGTTGTGAGGGTGAAGCAGCTGACGATGAACGCTGCGATGGGAGGGAATGGCAATCGACGACGACGGCGACTCCGACGGCTGGATTCGATCGTTCCATGTTTAGTAGTGTGCGGATAGTGAACGGAGAAACATACGCGTACGGTGATCTTCCCGCGTCGGAGCGTCGTTTGATCGCTGCGACCGACCGACAGACGATCGAGCGGATTTCTAGTTCTAGTGATACTAATAGTGCCCATAATAACAACATTAGCCGGAGTTCTAGCCGGGCTTTGGATAATATTCGTGGTTTTGGTCGCAGCGTGCGGGATCGGTTCGTCGACATAATGCGGCTGAACGTGCCAGCGGCCCCCGAGGGCAGCCGGACCAGTGTTTACATTCCGTCCTCCGAAGGGACGACCACAGTGGCCAGTGCGGCGAATACGGATAGTGCAATCTCGCACAGTGAGGGTGGACCGAGGCCTACCCTAACCATTCAAGTGAATTGTGTCGATACCAATAATGAGGTGCAAAATGATGTTGTAAATAATGTGTCCTCTGGAGTAAGCATCGTGAATTGCTACCGAGAGACGCCCAAAAGTGCTGCCGATGGTTCCAGTGAAAATGATAACGGTGAAGCTACAGAAGGTCAATTCTACCCAAGTGATGTTAACAGTGCTAATTTGAATCCTACGGCTATCGATAGAAATCCTGTAAATATCAGTGCAAATGCAGAGCAAATGGTTCATGTTTCTAACACAGTAGTGCAAAGTGGCTCCAACGATTCCAATTCGATCGAGAGTAGTTATAACAAGAAGAATAGTGCTAGCAATCAAACTACCCCCCAGTACCACCAGATGGATATCGACCGGATCGAACCCGCCAACAGCAATCGTACCTACACTTCAACCGAAGCCCAAACCGACGATCCTCCGATTCCCATCCCTCGTGGAGTGGTACCCCCTTACGTCCATCCCCATCATGCTGCTCCCATGTTGCCTCCGCCCTTGCTCCTATCCCCACCACCCGGATCCGAGTTCAGCACTCGGGAACATCGTCGTCGGGAGCGTCGTGAGCGCCGCCAAGCCCGCAACCGGATGCAACATGTGCACCCGATGGACCAACCACCGCCACCGCCGCCGACTCTAATTCGGCCACCGCCGCTCGAAATCATACCGGATATACTGCACAGCCATCTGCCGCCGCCGTACACGACCCTGCCGATGGGGGCCACCGTACTGCCGGCTCCACCACCGATCTTGCCAGCAGTGGTCCACCCGGCAGCGGTGCACCATCGGGCTGCTGCTGCTGCTGCGGCGGCGGCGGCGGTCGGAGCCGACGATTGCCGGTACTCGTTCCCGATCCCGATTATGAGAAGGTAGGTCAGTTGTTTTAATTTGCGGCGGGGTGTGCGTTCGACGTTGGTGGGGAGTCTGCAAGTTGTACACACTAAGAAATAACTAATTTTACACGTGATGGAATCCATCTTTGACGTAAGAAATGAGACGTAAACAAACATGACATGTAATATTAAGTGCTCTGAGATTTAAAAGTTCGTTGCTCGACGAAAAGTATGTTTGATTAAGCTATATTTCGCGTCTGTTATGACTCAAATTTATGTGAAAATTGACGCTCGTATATGTCACTCTCGGAGCACCTAAATTTACACGTATTTTTCTAAGTGTGTGCGTTTCGTTGAATATGGATGGAAAAGGAAAACAAATGGCATGTGGGTCATTTCTGCTCAAGTGTATACAAAGTTGTGGTCTAGCTTACCGAGTTCAACCAAACTTTGCAAAAATGCTTATTTTGATATTCTAAGAAAATGCCCCTTTTTGGATTTCGCTCTAGAGTGATTGGTACCCTCAGGGCTGCAACCCTGGATTTAGAAGAGTGTTAAAAATGATATCTTTGAGTAGAGATACTCCGCCATAAACCAAGTTCTATGTGTGCTTGACCGAACCTTTCAAGGGTTTTTAATGTAGAATCAAATGAATTAATCAAAATTTGATTGGAAATATTCAAACTACATTAAAGAGCCATATTAGCCACCAAAAAAAGGTCTTTTTTGAATACCGCGGGATTTGTTGTTTTTTTTTTATGAAATTAACCTTAAATTTTCTTTACGTATTGGAAAACCTATCCACTAGATCTGTTCCAAAAATAAAATACTTTGAACATAATATGATTATGGTTTATAAGATAAGGCTAGATGAGTGACGAGGAATATTTGGGCTTTTCAACCGAAAATCACTACATTAGGGAAAATGGATGCAATTTCGGCCTAAATGCCCCTAATTTGGGCCCATACATAAATTTAGTAATCGACTAAATTTTCAATAGCGACCAAAAATATCTATTAGTACCGTCCCATCTAGATAAAATATGACAAATAGCTGATTTTTAGCGATGGGTCCAATCTTAGATCCATAGGCCAACATAGGAGCCATTTCCCCTATATCTTTGAAAGGAGATTACTCCGCAACCAAACAAAATATGTTTGTTCTTGACACACCGTTGTGAAGGGTTAATATCTTGAATAACAACAAATCATGCACGCTATGGAAAAGGGCCTTATCTTTTGATAGTTTGGATACCTTCTAATAATCTGGCACTTAACTGTTGTTTGAATATTACAAATCAAATTTTCATTATATTAATCAAAATTAAAAAATTAAATAACTTATTTGGACGTGGAGTAATCTCTATTCAAAGTAATATTTTTTTAAATAAAATCTTAAAAATCAACGGTTGTAGCCGAGAGGGAACCAAGACCTTAAGAGTCAAATCCTAGAAGGATTTTTTTTAAATTTCAAAATAAGCATGTTGGCAAAGTTTGGTTGAAATCAATGACATTGACCACAACTTTGCATACACTTGAGCTGGAATGACCCATATCTAAAAAATCATATCATGAATCCCTTACATTCTCTTTAAACCCTTTTTTACGATAACTTCAAAAGTTGTTAATACAACAGCCCGTACTAAACAAGCAACATTTCCCAGAGTCATTTTTTTCGTATCAAACAATCATAAGATCATTTTCTAGATTTGATGTATTTTCAAGAATGTATTTAGATTAATGTTACACAATTATTTGAAAAGTCTAGTTTAGTTAAGTTTAGTTTTCTTTACTATCGAGACTGTGGGCTGGTTCATCTCTTATCTACTGGAGGTTCCGGAAGGACGCTCCCTTAATTACAAAGTTTGTAATGGGTGGGGCTCCAGAAGGAAGCTTCTTTATTTATAGAGTTTGGTTTATAGGTGGGAGCCCTAGAAGAGGGCCCCCTACAATCAGAGTTACAGTTTTGTCAGAGTATTTGCTGTCATAATTTATGTGCTGTTGCCGTTGGCGTTCTCCATTTGAGAAAGTAATGTAGGTCGAGTATTGTCGGTCATCCAGGTTCGTATTCAAGTGAGAAACTAAGGTCGTTCTTTGTGGGGGGTGGTAAAAATTGTGGCAAATGTCAAATATATGACAGTAGTCTGGCTTCTCTGAGGAAACCGAGTAATGCCGCGGTTCTGGTCAGGTCCTCACTAAGGGCATCTTTGATGCTTCCAGGTATATCATTAAATTCAAGGGGCCCTCATATTGGGGATAATGGCATATGATGTGCTCTATCGTGTTTTTTTTTATGCAGGGTGGAATCTGCTCTCAGACACCCGAGAAGATAACTCAGGGTGTGGGGATGGGAGAAGTAGCGCTCCCGACCCACTAAACCTCTCCCGGTGCTCTTGGCGCTTGCCCTCCCTGGAACCGCCCGAAAGCATTACATCATGGGAGGGGGCCGGTTGCGCTATGGCGCATCACACTCGCTACTGCACAGTGAGCTGCTGTGCAGGGCCTTCCTCTTATTGTTCGCTGTTAATTGTTCGCCTGAGTTCTAGAGCAGACGTGATAGCCAGCCAACTGTCCACGGCAGCACAGGACAGATGTGACTGCTTACCAGCTGCGTGTGCTTAGCACTCTAAGAACCCGGTGTCACTCCTGCCTTTGCACAACGAGGGTTTGTGCAGGGCTTATCGACCTCCTGGGACGAGCTGGATGGGGCTCCAGCGTCCTTACTCTGCTGTAGTTCGTTTAGCCGCAATATCTCTCCCTTAGGTTCGATAATTAACGTTTCCAGGGCACACCACGAGGAGGCGAACTACTTCATGCTCTACCGTGTGTGGGATATGGCAGATGTCGCAGATCCTACGGAAAGGACCGTTTCCGGAGAAGTTATAGGAAATGTTGGTGTGCCTCGTTCTTAGACGAGACATCACGATCTGAATTCGGTGTTCTCGTAGGTCCTTCCACCTACAGTTTATATCAAAATTGAGCGTACAGCTGTCCGTACATTCCAGAAAAACAGCTGTACGAGCACAACTTAAAAAGATAGATTTCTAAATCTTTGGCTGCTGGCTCATCAACCATTTATTGGTTATCGGCATGGTATTTGGCTTATTTGGATGAGTGTGTAAGAAGTTGAAGCTATTTTAGAAAAAAAAAACTAGATTTCCTAAAAAAATAAATACATTTTCTTGAAATACAATGAGCCAAACATATTGAAATTTTGGTAATCTGTAGTCATAATAAAGGTCAGTAAGTTGTTTCGCTGTGAGATCCTTATTCTCGTAAAAACTTCGAAACTTTAAGTGCACACATATCAGCTTCTACGACACGTACAACATTAAAACTGTTACTCCACGTTTGCTGAACTGCAGCAGATATGAAGTAGCAATTTAAGGTGCCGTTTTACTGAAATTACTCAAACTTCATATATACTCTGCCAATAAAGTCCACTGATAAATCAATAAATAGTTGTTCAACCACTTTCCAAGATTTCAAAAAAATATCTACTCACAGTCTTTCAAAAAAATACGCTCAATTTTGAGATACACTGTATGTGTGACCTCTTTGGTCTTTCGGTTGAAAGTATCCCCTGAGTGAAGCCAATTAGGAGTTCCAGATCACCTTTGAAACCCAGTGTTTTAAATTCTTCACTGAGACCTTCCTCTTCTTCTTCTTCTTCTTCTTCTTCTTCTTCTTCTTCTTCTTCTTCTTCTTTGTATTTCAAGCTTATTGCATATCGCATATTAGCTTATTGCGTGCTCTCAACTTAGTGTTCTTGATGCACTTCCACAGTTATTAAGTAAGAGCTTTCGATGCCTGTACCATTTTTGCATTGATATGATTGTGTGGCAAGTCAAGTGATCATACTGCTATGCCCAGGGAAGTCGAGAAATTTTCCAACCCAAAAAATTCCTAGACCGGACCGGGAATCGAACCCAGCCACCTCTCCAGCATGGTCTTGCTTTGCAGCTGCGCCTTTAACGATTGAGCTAAGGGAGGCTCCGCTGGGACCTCTCGGGTGTAAATAGGAGCTTGTCTTCCGGATGCCGCCAGGTGATCGGTCTCTATATTCCAGCGGATACCGCGATTGGTCTGGTGGATGTTGTAGTGGCAGCGATGAATGCAGAGGCAGTCTCCAGAGAGTCCATAGTTCCCTCGTGAGCTACGGAGCAGTCGGAATATTGAATTGTATGGCCGTTGTATACGGTTCGTTGATGTTCTGTTACCGATTTCACTAGCAGAGGGGAGAGTTGGATACTGCCCTAAACTTCTGCTTAATTGTTAAGGCAATTACGGGTCAGGGCAGTGTACCAGTGGACCCTGGACACCGGGGAGAGCACTAGATTAGCAGTTTTAAAAAGAAGTAGGTTTGCTTTGGTAAGGAGGAAAACTCCTTCGTCAGGCGTGGACGGAAGAAGACCCAAGGAAATCCGGACAGCTTCTCGGTACGTGGGGCCCAATTTGGAGATTAGAAGATTGCGAGCGAGACAGGTGATTTCGATGCCGTTGAAAATACGTGATTCGAGAAGTGCCCTGGCAATTCGGAGTCGGGTGGACCGGTTTCTGTCAGCGTGACGTCCAGCGAAAGAACGTAGAAGATGTAGCCTAGTTTTGCAACCACTTTTGACGTCGTTGAAATGTGCAGCAAAACTCAGGTCAAGACGAACCCCCAGGACGCGGACTGTCTTTTTAAACGGGACAACGGTCCCATCGATGTAGATAGGGTGCTGAGAGGACGGTGATGGTCTGATTAAGATCGATGGTTCCCCAGAATTTTCTACCACTTTGTTTTGGAATTTGTTTCGATTCTCTAAAGAACTCATTCCAAGGGAGTTCTGGGAAGAACGTAAGAAAGACATCAGGTGAAATCTGCTTTCAATTTAGTTCCGTAGAACTTCATATTCTATGTGAAACCTAAGGAAAATACCATCGTAACAAAATGGTCTACTCTTGATTGACGACAAATAAGTAAACAAATAAATTAAAAGCTCTGAGTAGAATTCCAGAAAACTATGAATAGGATTCAATGGAAAGTTGATCGA